CGGTCAGGCCATCCTCTTTTGTTTTGCTAAGTCTTTAGATTCCGGTGTGTTTTACACTGGCAGCATGTCTCAAGGGGCCACATGTCTGGTGGCCACCTATGGGACCTGCTGGTCTAGAGTTCCCATGTGAGGCTGTGCAGGAAGGCACGCACGATTCTGGGTGGGCTGCATTCAGATTTTTTTTATTAAACACATTGAAAAGTTCAGGGTAATGCAACTAGGGCAGAGCATATGGCCCTGCAACACCTCCATCGCCTCGGTGGGGGCGTCAGGGCCTGGGTGGATGTGACAGATGTGAAGGGCAGAGGTGCACCTGTGGGCCTCCTGTCCTCCCCACAGTGATAAAAATCTGAGGAGCAGTCTTTGACCCAAATGCTGATACCTCTGATCAACCGTTCCAGGGGCTTAGGTATGGCAGGGACTTTTTAGGCCATCGAGTCCAGGCCCCCTTTCAGTGGCAGATGCCCAAGTCTGCAGGCACACCTCCAGTGAAAGCTCGGGCCAGGGCCACGCCTGGCAGTGCCTGTCAGGAACAAAGGGTGCAGCACCCTCCTCCCCGTTCCAATTGCGAGGCATAGGGACCGACAGTGCATTCTCGGTAAGTGACAGGGAGCAGGGCAGGGAGGGAAGAGGATGGTTAAATTCAGGGCTTCAGCTCACAAGAAGCCACAGAAAGATCTTGGTAACCAGGTTAGGATATGCAGGACCATGGCAGGACCCGGGGAGTGGGGAGAGGGATAAAGGCGCTGGGTACTACTTACTGCTTGACAGGGCAGAGGGAAGGCTGTGTGTTGGAAATGGGGCTTGTCTGCAAAAGGGTCCTTTGGGTGGAAATGACATCTTGCCCCATTAGCATATGATGCCAGAAGGCCGAGGAGAATTTGACCCCTGATTCTCGGGTTGTCCTCCTTCTCTCCAACCCCTGCCCACAGGATCAGTGAAGTGGAACCCAAATACTACGCAGATGGGGAAGATGCGTATGCCATGAAGCGGGATCTCACCCAGATGGCCGATGAGGTAAGTCTAAGGGGGCCAGGGCCACAGTCCCCACAGATAAAGAAGAGCAAGGTAAGTAGGGGAGCCCCTGCTGGAGGGAAGGTGAAGCTCCCAGGGGCCCTGAGACAGTAGGAGGCCTGTGATGGGCTAGAGACAAGATGGATCAGGTGCTAGCCATTGTGGCTACGTTGCTGGGAGTCCTGGTGCTCATCACCTCAGTTTCCCCAGCTGTCAGGTAGGGAGCTGGTCTTTGTCAGGGCTTTGAAGGAGGCCACAAGATTCCATTCTCAGGAAGAAGCCTGCGCCACTGTGAGGCGTGGTGTGAGAGGCAAGGGAGGGAGGCCCCTGGATGCACTGAGAATGAGGGCTCCAGGATAGCAGTGGGGGCCTGGGGACAGCCATGGCCGGCCCCAAGGCTCAGGGGTAAGACACAACAGGGCTGAGGAGAAAGTCAAGTCCTACAGCAGCCCAGATGAGGGAGGCATGAGCATACTCCCTTTACAGGAGAGAAAACAGCCCCAGGGAGAGCAAAGCCAGGATTCAACTCAATGCAGTCCTGTGTTTCCTCCCTGGCCCTGCTGCCTCTCATTTTCCCCTCTGCCCCCAGCAAGTGACAGACACAGGCTCCCTTGGGCAGCCAGAGAGGGCCTACATGGTCTGGATACTTAGGCCCTGTCATCTTCCTCCTGCTTCTCCCTGGGCTTCTGGTGGCAGCTGAGGCGGCACCTGGAGCTGAAGGAGAAGGGCAGGCACACAGTGCTGGGCGCCATCGAGAACAAGGCGGAGAACAAGGGCAACTCACTGCCCAGCTCAGGAGAGCCCGGTCGTGAGGAGAAGGGCCTGGCTGCCGAGGACAGCGGTGGTGACAGCAAGGACCTCAGCGAGGTCAGCGAGACCACAGAGAGCACCGATGTCAAGGACAGCTCAGAGGCCTCCGACTCAGCTTCCTAGAGCCTCCTCTCCCTGCCCTGGCCCTCCCATCCTCACCCGAGGTTATACAATAAACTTCACCCAGGGGGCGGTTTGTGTGTGCGAGTGTGCGCATTTGTGGGGGATTGCCTCTCTCAGGCCCCTCTGTGTCCCTGTGGGGCTGGACCTCATGACCCTTTGGCACAGCGCATCCTGGAAAGTCCGAGTAGCTTCGTGTGGGCTTTGGAGGTGGAACTCCCAAGTCTGATGGCTTTCAGCATCTTTGGGCGCTAGGGAGGGAGACCTTGGAGTTCTGGGAGCCACCCCCACCTTGGAGACAGATGATCTGCCTTCTGAGCCCTGCTCTTCACTGCCTTGCTGGGCTTTAGATGCCTAAGTCCAACTGCTCATCGGGCTTCTCCACTGATGTCCTATCTGGATAATGGCCCAACCAGCTACCCAGTTGCTGAAGTTCTGGCAACTGTTTTTGATTCCTCCGTCTCCTGCATCCGAAAGGTCAGTGGATCCTGTGTCCCTTGAATCTACTTCCTAACCTAAGCCTTAATTTAAAAATAATTAATAGACTTTATTTTTAGTAGTTTTAGGTTTACAGAACTGAGCAGATAGTGTGGCCTTTCCACACACCCCATCTAAACCCTGTTTCCCCTATTAACATTTAGTATTGTGTTACATTTGTTACAATTGAATTGATAAGCCAATATTGATACATTATTAACTATAGTCCAGGGTTTACATTTCCCTCTATGGATTTTGACAAATGCATACTGTCATTTCATGCAGAATATAAGCCTTCTATTTTTCACAGCTTCACTATAACCCCCAAATTTGTTCCTGTGCCCTTTTTTCTGGCTGCAGCGCCATCACTTGCTGCTCCTAGCCCCAGAGCAGGCTGTCTGGGCTGCCCACCTCCTAGGGAAGCTCAGCACTCCTGAGCTGTCACTACCTTATGGCCCTGTTACTGCAGATGGCACGCTGTTCCCCCGTCTGGCTGAATTTTTCGCCATTGGGCTAGAGCTCGCTTCTCATTGGCTGGCGCCCGACACGTGATCAGCAGGCAGCCGGGGTAGCTGAAGCTAGGGGGCGGGGGTAAGGTCTGAGGGTTGCGTCTGCGCACTGCCGCTCGCTCGCTGGTTCAGGCGGCGCTTTGTTCT